TTTAACCCATAGCTGGGGAGAGAAGAGAGTTATTCATAATTTTTCCAAAGCGATTGCCATGAAAACGTATATATATATATATATATTATTGAATTTGGTGAATTGAAACAAATACGGACTAAAATAAGGAATAAATAGGAAAATTTTTATAAATTTAACATTCTGCTTTTATTTTAGCTTCATCAAAATTTTGGTGGAAATGAATTACAGAAGGGAATGTTTTTATACCTTGAATTTGTTGATTTTTGCTTTCATTGGTCAGGTAGATTTCATGTGTTTGTCTTGTGGTGTTAATGTGCATGTATGTACATTTGAATTCTAGTAGGCTTTCTTGTAGCTGTCTAATATAATAAAGATAACATTAAACAAGTATGTAGATATTTTAAGGTAATTGTTGTAATCAAACATTATTTCTTATTTCTATAAAGGTTATATTTACTGAACAACATACATATTTTAGTAAACCTCTATGTTCATTTTTTTCTAAATAGTGAAATTTATGCCTACCAGCCTGGGCAATCAAAAGTGATATTAAAAACAATGCTTTTTTTTTTTCTGACATTGATCATACCCGTATTCCCTTTTTAACATAAGAAAACAATTTCAAGTCGTGTTCTTTTTTTCTAAAAGGTGAAGACATTATCTTTCCCTCCACACATACATACCATACGCATATGCATGTGTCGATGACTCTCCTGTCCCTTTTGAACATATGAGGGTCCAGCAGCTCATTTCTTGAGACCAAACTGCCAGATTAACTGCACATATGATTTGATTATTGTGGTGAAAGTTTGGGTAGCATATATGTATGAATTGGATTCAAATATGAATTAAATCCAACAGAATGATCAAATAAGGAACAAATAGGAAAACATTTATAAATTTAACAAGTTTTTTTTTTTATTTTAGCTTCATCAGAAATTTTGCAGGAATTTTATTTTAGATTAATCCATATTTTGAATTTTGTGCTGTTTGTTTTCAATGGTCAGTTCGATCTCATATGTTTATGTCTTATAATGTTAATGTACGTTTATGTCTGAATTTTAGTAGACCTTTTTGTGTCTGTTTGGTAGTGTGTTTAATTCCTGAAGATATTAGAAGAAATGGGAAAACTGTATGTATCTCTGTGTGTATCTGTATATCAATTTTCTAGTTGGTCTTGCAGATGTTGTCAGTGCAGGTGTTGACTGTGCATTAACTGACTGATTGATTTTGTTTTTTACAGCTTATCAACCCTTTGCAGATAATTTAAAGCCAGAAAATATTTTTAGATTGTAAGAAATTTTTTTTTTCTTTTTTGAGAAAAGATGATTTACTGATTCGAGTTTTACTAATTAACACATAGTTGGAGGGAGAAGAGCTAGATTCATATCTTTCCCAAGGGTATTTATTTGTAAATCAATATAACAAAACCAACTGGAATTCATCTCTCAACAAACAATTCCAAATCATTATCCATTACCCCACCACACATCCAAGGTTTACTTCATAGGTGAATCTGTGTTTCAATGTGATATGGCCATATGCCTGACTGTGAGTTAAATGTACATTATTTAATTGTGCGTAAATTTTATTGATGAGAAAAAATTTATGCCTATTGGGAATATTGGTGGTACATGGGTGCATGATTTGGTTTATTCTATTATTATATAACTTTTGAATGTATTCAAACGTATTTGATATGTTGGAGAAAGGCGTCTTCTGTTCATGTAGTGAGCATGACAAAATGATTGAAATTGATGGATAAAAACCTTAGCTTACATTGTCAACAAGTCTCTGGATCTTACAATCTTTTATTATGAATATTCGTAATATGAAAAAGTATGCCTGGTGTGTGTTTATCAATGGAAAGATACCAATTAATATTCCTTCACAATATTTTCTTCATAATAGAATATGTTCAGTTTGTTTTGTTCTTTTTTAAGTGTCATTTTTTTAAAATCAAAATTACAACCTGTTATATTTCTATGTCTTATTAAGGAGTTTAGTAGGTTATCTCAGTGGACGTCTCATGTGCATAAATAAGTGTTTTTAGGGTTCTGGAAGTTTTTCCTACATACTTCTTATGGAATTGCAGGCATTCAGTTTGAATTAGGTATGATACGGTTCAATACTTACTGATGTCAAATCAGTTTTATAATTTTTCTGTCATTACTCTTGAGGACATTCAATAAAGATGTTTCATTCTAATGTAAACAAACTCAAGAGTAAAGATTATAAAAAAAATGACAAAACTTGGATTCAACATCAATAAGCTTTGATCCTTATATCTGAGTCAATAATTATTGCTCTAGTCAAGTATCAAGCACTTTATTGGCAGAAATTCAGTTCACTGTGATATACATTCAATTATATATATTAATAGCTTGTATTATTTTTATATATATATATATATATATATATATATATATATATATATATATAATGTACACGTGTGCATACAAGAGTCTTTTAAATTGAATATACATGAGACTGGGCAATATTTAATTTTTGTGCTTTCAAAAAATAATTCTGTCATTCCCTTGACACTGCTTTTACTGTATACACATTTGACTCCCTCAGCAATGTTTATTTACAAAATAATAAAAATTTGTGAACCAAGTACAATGCAATATTTATCATTTACCTTTTGTAAAGATATATTATTTACCATTTTATCAGGAAATAAATCTTTTTATTCAAAAATTAATTTTAAAAAATTGTAAAATTATCAAAATATTTAAGACTAAGAGATGCTCTGAACTTATTTTAGTGAATATATGTTGTGACAGCAACTGGAAGAAATGCCCAGAAAATACATTTTTTTCAAAATTTATAATTAAAATTACTCATTATTTGTTTATTTACATTTCCTTGTTCATAGTCATTTTTATAAATTTATGAATGGAGAAAAATTATTTTCATATTTATTTCTTAATAATATGGTAAATAATATTTCATTATAGTTGGTTCACATATTTTTATGATCTTGTAAATATAAAATTATTCTTGTAAATAAGCAATTTAATAAATAAACAGTCTTTAATATCTTTGTCGTCAATTCTCTAAGAATAAAGAAAAAATATGAATCAACTTTCGTGTGTTTGGGCTCTATTAGAATTTTAATCATTGCTTTTTAAAACAATAAACATTGCAAAGGGAGTCAAAAGTTTATAATAGTGTCAAGGAAATAGCCATCCCTTTGACACACCATTTTTTTTTTTTTTTTTTTGTGGGCACAAAGGTTAAATATTGCTAGATTTTTAAATTCTATATTGTTGCCACATGTATTATGGTGCTTCTGATCTATATCTTGTTAATAAAGTCCAAAGAAGAATCTGCAATGTTATCAGTCATGACCTGGTATCTGAGCTCCAATCATTTTCCCACCACCATAACATAGCTTCTCTGTGACTTTCCTATGAATATTTTATGGTAACTGATGAGCTCTCCTCTTTGGTACCTGATTCATGAATTTAAGTAAAGTATCATTAAAAAAAAAAAACGTTTATTTTAGAACCTTGTGAAAAATAAATAATACAACATCCCCGCTGAATCTCTAGTTAATGTTTGCTCATTCAACTTTTCAGTCTATAGTAATCATTATCCCTCTTAATTCCTTGAGGAACATAGCGCTGCAATGACATTTCTCTAACAGATGCAGTTCTGGGCGATCCTCTTCAACTCAGCCCATGTCATACTGGCTGCCTTCCCAGGGAATTTTCACCAGCATGCATCATATGCTCCACTTCGAAAGACTCTTCCTTGGCCATGCCATTGTTTGAAGATATAGTTGAAGTTTCTGTAATAAGTCTATAGTAAAGGCAAAATAAATTATTGAATTCTCAGAAATAAGCAATAGCGAATGTTTGAAAATCAACCGGAAAAACTCATTATGTACAAACACATTTGTGAATTTGCATACACATAGAAATGCATCCATGGAGACATACCAAAGAAAATAACACTAATTTTTCCAAAGGTACATTGGGATAGTGAAATATCCTTGCCAAAAGTTAAGCAAAGTATTAACCAGAAAATTTCATTAGAAATAAAGAAGAGTACTGAACTGTTATGTAATATCAGTTCTCCAGTATGACAATAAATGCTGGACAATCTCTTCAAAGATGAAGAAGAATGCTGAGAATATCATGGACTGAACTTTAAATGAACTCGTTTACAAAGGCTATCACTTAAAACTGAATGATACTAAAATATTATTCATAAATTAAATACACAAACCATGATTCCCTATCAAATCTTATTAGGCATGAAATGACCTAACAAAGGTTGATATGCCTTTAAACTCATCAATCAAATCAAGGAAGATGGAGACCCTGGGATCTTGTATGGTTTAAGAGCTAAAACTAAATATAGCTATACCTTACACTAAGCTACTTGATCTTTGATGATTGTAGTTGACAGAAAAGCAAGAAGCTGGAAGAAGCGTGAGAGAAGAAACTCATCTACATCTTGCAATATCAACTGTAAAATGATGAAACCTAGCTGCCAATCTAGTACTGTACTTAAATTTACAAAAAGTTGAGGGATGAAAGAGGAAAGCTCATCAGAAAGATTATGAAAATATTCATAAAAAAAGGCACGGAAAAGCTACATTATGTCAGTGGGAAAGTGACTGAAGCTGAGATACCAGGTTAGGACTGATAACATTGCAGATTATTCTTTGGATTTTATCAAGAATTGCTAAATACATAAGAAAAGAACCAGACCAGATGTAGCATGGATGAAGAAGGTTTATGAAATATGGATAAACATTAGCCAACTTGATTAGTTTGATTTTTTTTTTTTCTCCACTTATCAACCTTTTCCAGATTATTTTACGCCAGAAAATATTTTTAGATCATAAGAATATTTTGAAAATAATAATTTACTAATACAAGTCCTACTAATTAACTCATATCTAGGGGAAGAAGTGGTGGATTTATACTTTTCCCAAGGGCATTTGTAAATAAGTGAACAATTCTGATCCTTTATCCATTAGATCACCTTCATGTTCAAGTTTGCAGCATATGGTATTCCTAAGTAGTCACCCATCAAGGTACTAACCAAGTCTGACATTGCTTAACCCTGGTGATCGAATGAGAATTAGTGTTTCAGCATGATATGGGTATAAGCCATTATCCAGCCTGGTATCTTATGTTATATGCTACAAATACAAGCGTTTGTACATGTACTTATTAAAGTAAAAGATTATATATAATCTGAATTACCTCTTTAAATACTACAAAATCACTTAGTATGTTTCTGTGACTAAACTGCCTTTACTCATTATGGAAAGTTTTTATGGCAAAGTTAAATTCAGGAGAAAATCAAATTAGTTTGAACATGTGCCAGGGCTAAAGAAGAAAGTTTTTTTCTGGCCTCTGAATTTTGCTGGGTGTCAAGTTGAATTACTTGCATTTAGTCTTTTTTTTCTCTATGAATAGAGCACATCCTCCTGCCTCCAGAGGCATCTAATCTGTCACTTAATGTAAGTTAGGATGTAGCTTTTTACACGGACAAGCACTTAAATCATTAAGTTAGGTTGTCTTGGGTTGAGTGTCACTCAAAACTGAGAAAATGAAACAGCAGAAAAAAATATTTCTCAAGCTGTTTGGAATTTCTTTGGATTATATTTGATAAGATGTCAAAATATGTTTGGAGGGGGTTTGCAAGAATTGATTATCCACTTATATTTAAATAATAATTAGTATCTGTGAAAAGTTTGTTGGTTTTCTTACTTGAATTTTCTGATGTTTCATGTTATTTAATGAATAAATAAGCTGATTGCAAGTTCTATGACTACAAAATATCTGTGGAAATTACCCTATCGCATTATTAGATATTTGAGCTTAACAACTTTAACAAAATATTGCAATAACATTAAGTATGAATGTGGATCATTAAAGAAATAAGAGGGTACAAATAAAAAGATATTTAGAAATTTTCCACTTCACTGAAGAATTCATTAAATACATGAGAGGTTTGTCATCTCTTCTATCTTCTCTTTCTTGGATTCTTTCTTTTACTGAAACCAAACACCATCTCTGATATGTATTTTCCATTTTTCTTTATAAATACCCATGGAAATTTCCTTATTGCATCATTAAATATCTGAGCTTAACAACCTTGAAAAATATTCCAATAACAGTCATAAGTATGAATGCAGGTAATTATTTAAAGCAGGAGGGTACAAATTAAAAGATTTAAAATTGAGAAATTGTTCATTTCACTGAAGCAGACATTAAATACATAAGAGCTTTATCAACAATCTTCTCTCTCTTTTGCATTTTTTCTTTTACTGAAACTAAACAAGTATATCTATTCTTTCTTTCCTCACAAGCAAAACGGACATCTTTATTATTTTTAATATATTGTCAAGACATAATGTACATGCTTACTAAGGAACAAGGGAAAAAGCAGAATTATAATATGGGTATTATTTTTATTTTATTTAACTGGCCTCTAGACTTCTGTCACTTTCTCACCAATGTGGCATGGCTTCTTTGTGTCTTTTCTACAAATATTTCCATGGCAACTATTTTGATAAACTTTTTCCCTGGTGCCCTGACTACATGAATTTAAGTGTGCTACTAGATTGGCATGTAGGTCCCACCCATTTACTGTTGAAATAGCTTAATGCAATTGCCACTTCCACTCCAGCAATTTCTTTTCTTACACTTCCTGCCTGTGGAACTCCTTTCTGTTTCTTTGCTTCCCTGAAAACTACAATGAAAAATTAAATGCAATGCCAATCACCATCTTCTGTCTTCTTGAATCCCGTTCATCTTTTGTCCTTTGCTCAATCCTCCCTATACTCAGTCTTTTCTCTCACTTTCACTACCTATAACCCCCTGTGTATTAGTGTCATTCCCGACTTGCTTGGATGTGGGGAGATGATAAAAGTAGGATTTATCACCATGAACATGGCTTGATGGTCCCTAGCTGTGAAGGTTGGAGTTGGTGGGACTAATGAATATAACTTGTTAGAACATTTGCCATAGTGATAGTGTAGTGAGAGGTTAGCAATGTTTTATCTGTGGGGAAAAGGGTTGTAGTTTGAAAATAATTAATCACCTGTGAGATGTTTTTGAATTTTGACTCTACAGTGTGACTGGGCTTCACTAGCCAAATTTTCACAAAACTGCACTTGATTCTTTCCAAATATAAATGTTCTGAAGATCATGAGAATAATATTGAATACTATTTATGGTGTTTCTACAAAAATGCTTCCCTCTAAGGAAAAAAAAAATTCAGGTACCAAATAAGAACTCCAGATGATGAATATCAATTTTTATTTTTTTCTTTAGTTTTCTAAATTTTAAGAGTGGAAATCAATTTGTAATTGATCCCAGTATGGAAGCCAAAAAAAAAAAAATGTTCATACCATATGTAAAATTTTCTTGTGTTAAAATAAGGCTTACATAGATAATCTCAAATAATTTCAAAACAGCCACAAAATATGAATTTAAAGCATATTCTTACTTACCTTTTTCTTGTGTTGTGCTAAAAAAGGATTACACACAAAATCTCAGATATAAATTAGAAGAGCTGCAAAACAAGAATTTAAGGTTTTTTCTTATCTTTTTCCTTTATTATTATTTTTCTTACATTTATTTTTTTTGGTTTGCATATAGGGATCAATTTACAATGAATTTATATAGCAAACCTCCTCTTAAAATCTAAAAACAAATTTATTTTTTTATTTTCATGAGAGCTCTTGCTTTCCAGTCAAGTGTGATCCTCAAAAATTTAAATGCAATGTCTTCTGTCTTATTAATTTATCTTATATTGTTCTCACAACTTCATGTTTTTCTTATATTCTTTCACATTCAGTAAACCCCTATGTTTTAGTGGCTTTGCTTGGGGTGAAATGATTAAAAAAAGGAATTCTGAAACATATTGTCAACATGTTTTTATAATCATGATATAGGTTGAACTTTGCAACTTTACATGATAATTCCATTGTAGAATTTTTAAAGTAAAAATATTTTTATTAAGATATTAATGCTGGCATTAACAATGGAAGATTGTAAAAAATTAAACCCAAGTAAATAAATCACTTTCTCTACATAGTGGGGATGATGGAGTGCATTATATGTTACAGTAAAGTGTAGAGGAAAAAATGAAGGCAAGGAGCAAATTTGAAAAAGGGGGATGTGATGTAATTTAAATGGATTACATTTTGCATGAATTATGATATTCAGCACCAAAGTGTGTTGATGTTTTCAATACATTTTTGCATAATAAATAGAATATTCAAGATATTAATTAACTTACTCTGACATTAATCAATTCATTTTTAAAATGTAAAACACGGATTTCCTTCTGAATTATAAAGATACATATAATGCAAAATAAGCCTTATGATTTTATAGACACAAATCTGAAATGCATCATAATATTTTGCTTGCACTTAATTAGAATCACAGATTTAGAGAATATTATTATATAGAATAATGTTGTTGGAAAATGTCAACTACTTACAATACATTTAACAAATCGCACAACATGATATTAATATTCCAAAACCACATTTTCAATTAAAGATACGTTTTTTTCTGTGTGAACATTATCTTATCATCAGTATTTCTCTTTTCAGTTTCCATTAATGCCAAAAAAAGAAAGAAAAGACATTTTAAGTTTAGATCCTTAAATGCTATTAAGGGAAAAAAAAATTATAAAATTACTTTACATTGCCACTTATCAAATATTTGCTGACAGCATTAACATTTTAAGACCGAGTTCAACTTGAAAAGTTTTGTGATATATTTAGATCAACATTGCAATGATTTAAATTTTGTGTTTATGTATACAAGGATATAGGTATGTAGGTAAGAATAAGTGTATGCATCTATATATATATATATATATATATATATATATATATATTAAAATATGTGGTGGCAAATATGTATAAATGTATAATCATGTATTTAAAAAGTATTTTGAAATTAGATAGCATTAACAGGTCAGAAAAATGAACTTTAGTTATGAAGAAAAACTTTAGTTAATAAAACCTATTTAGTTTTTTGTTAAAATGTAGCCCAATTATTTGTTTTCATTTTTAGTGATATCAAAAATAATTATTTGAAAATTTATTTTTAACTTATTCAGTAGTAAATATATTTTTTTATTGATGTAAAACATGTTCTGATTTGTTCTCATTAAAAAAATTGGTAAAAGTAGAAAGTTTTTGGTATGGTAAAAATGGTTTTATTTTCATATAAATTAACAAATATCAACAACAGATAATATATATATATATATATATATATATATATATATATATATATATATCATGTATTGTAAGCTGTTGACAGTTGAGTTTTTGGTGAATGCTCTTGAAATAAAGAATCTGAAAGTTGTTTTCAATTCACAAAAATCAATTGGATTGTTAGATTTTTTTTTCATAATCATTTACGGCCAACTGTATTTTTAACTATATCATTCTTTTTCATTTTGTTTTTTTTTTTACGTAAAAAAATTATTTTCATTGTATGCTCAAAACAGTTTAATTTTCAAATAAGTCAACAGTTATCAGCAATAGCATAAGTAATAAATATAATATAGACCTATGTCATTTCTTGTATTTAAGAGAAGGAAAACACGAAATTTAAACTTCCGCTGATTTGCAGCCATACCCAATCATGGGAAAGGCTTTGGGAGTAAACCCTAAGATCAAATCTAGAGACAGAGTTCTTCGTTCTGGTAATCCTGTGAATCTGCTAGTGCCAAGCTACACTCGACTTTACCTTTGACTTGGATAACATCAGTGACATGAAGAGAGGGGAGATGTGCTGCATGGACAACTGCCAATATTTCATAAAATCCTACCCAGGCCTGCACCCTGGAGAGGACACTCTAGCATCACCTGACTGTAATGACAAAACACAGGAAGCAACAGTCTACTGATGGGAGGATTCTGAAGGTCCTTCTGTATGGGGAACTGATCACTAGCAAGAAGCTACTAGGGCAGCTTTATCTTCACTTCAAAGATGTCTGGAATAGTTATATTAGGGTGATGAGAATAGGTACTGAGAGATGGGAAGACATTGCCAATGACCACTCATGCTGAAGATCTAATTTACACTGAGGGCTGGAGGAAGAAGAGAAGAAACAGAGGCT